AGTGGCGCCACCTGTCCTGGCCACCAGATGGCCAACGAAATCATCGCTGTGTTGCTAGCTAGTTCTCGCGATCGCTGCTCGCGCGGGTGTCCTGCGCGCCTTTCGTCTTCTAAACAAAGTTAGGATATTCTATATACTTCATAGAGTTCCTTTTTAGTTATTTAAAAATTATGTTATTAATTGCTTTTTTGGCTGATCAGACGTGTTATGTTAAACGATGTATCGTTGTTGGCCACTCTTGAGACAACGTTGCCTTCTTAATATTTTTAATAAATGACAGTTTTATTTGTTATTTGTTATTTCTTCTTTCTGTTTAAATTTTCTCATTATCACGGTTTACAAAATTGTTGGTAGTTCTTCCCGAAGATTTAGCAGACAGGTTTGGTATATTTCATAAAACAGGTTTGGTATACTTCGCTGAAGTACACGGGACTCATTGGATCGGCCTTAAGAGGGTTAACTAAGGAGGGCAGTCTTGTCATCAGCCTGTAGAACATGCAGACTATACTTAAAAATCGATGAGGCAGTTAACTGTTGATACAGTTGGTCTAGAGTTGAGTTTAGAGTTGCTTCAATTAATGAAGCAACAACAAAAAATTAAATTAAATTAAATGAATAGAATTAAATGATAATTAAATGAATAATTAACTAGTCCCTCCTGGTATCGTTGATCTGCACTTAGGCCGCTTAGGCCCTCCAGTTAGGATCGAGGAATTTCTTGGAAGAAGTTCGATTTCGTGCTAGGTATTTCCGGTCCATCCGGTCGATCAGCTTCCATCAATGTTTCATAGGGGTTTCGGAGAAGTCAGGAGAACATTGTGTTTAAATCTCGAACAAGCACCGCCCTCGGTCGGGTTCCAATAAAAGTGAGATCGTTTCCGGTGTATTTTACGAGGACTACTCCGGCCCTCTCACCTGTCTCGGAAATTTACTCGTATTTATCGTCGTTTCTTATCGTTGCCGGAGCTTTGCAGAGCCGGAGCACGTATAAGCAGCAGCTTTACGAGGTTTCCGGCGTGGCCATATTCCACCGACTGTCTCTACGTTCCGTTTCCACGGGTTCCCTATTCCGTTGCCTCTCTCTCTCGCTCTCTCTCTCTCTCTCTCTCTATCTTTCTCTCTCTTTCTCTCTCTTTCTCTCTCTCTCTCTCTCTCTCTCTCTCT